CAGCTTCCAGTGTCTGAAGGGGGCTACAAGGATGCTGGAGAGAGACTCTGCATCAGGGACTGTAGTGATAGGACAAGGGGTGATGGGTTTAAAGAAATTCAGGTTAGATCTAAGGCAGAAGTTCTTCCCTGTGAGGGTGCTGAGGCACTGGCACAGGTTGCACAGAGAAGTGGTAACTGCTCCATCCCTGCTAGTGTTCAAGGCCAGGCTGGACAGAGCCTTGGACGACATGGTCTAGTGTAAGACATCCCTACCCATGGCAGAGGGTTGGAACTAGATGATCTTAAGGTCCTTTCCAGCCCAAACCATTCTATGACTCTATGCTACACCACATCCCTCTTCTCCCTGGAAGGAGGAATACTCAGGGTTCCTTGTTTTCTCTCCTAGCGTTACGTGGACGGGGAGGTCGGGATGTGGCGCGCCAGCTTCGTGTCCCGCACAACCATCACCGTGTCTGCCTTCGCCGGCGAATACGACATCTGTCCCAGGGACTGCGCCGCTGCCTTCCTCACCTTACAGCTCTCTGACTGCATTTTGCAGATCTCAAAAAGAAACTTCTACCGTTTAATGTGTATTTTCTACCTTCCTGAGTTTCAAGTGAGCTGCTTCTACAGGTACCCAGAGCCATAAAACCCCTACAGCCGGCCCATCTGCCCTGACTACCACCTCACCCCTGCAGGTTCTGGAGCAGTATTATGCCTGTGGCTACCAGGACACGGTCTCCTTCCTAAAAAGACTGAGTAAGTGACCGGGAGGGAGGAGCAGGTAGGTTGGGTGCTTCTCAGTGTTGGTTTGCTGACAGAAGGTAAGAGATACTGCCATTGCACCAGGGCAGAGAGATCCCAGCATCCCTGGCATTGCCAGGATACCCTTGAGTCCCATCCTCTATGATGCCTCTCCTGTAGCTCCCTGTTCACCCCTTCCCCTCTGATGGTGTTAGGTCCCTTCTTCTCTTCCACATGGGGCATGATAGAGCTTTTCAGGGAATGCAGGTCCCCAGAACCTAGACAGAAGTGTAGGCTCAGGAGCCCTGTGTGGTGTCTAGACTGATAACCCACTGATGCACAAAGCAGCAATGTTCGGTGACTCCTGACCCAGAAACCCAACTCAGAGTAGCCATGCACTGTGGGCATCGGTCCCCCTGTTTTCCAATAAACCCTGGCCATACTGGTCAATCCTTTCCATTGCTGGAGACCTGGTAGCTGAGCAACAAGCAGTGAGAGCTGGATTCTTTTCCCACCAGATGATTTTGGTATAAATTACCTTGATGAGGACTTTATGCTTCCATTCACCAATGAATCGTCTCAGAAAGGTGAAGAGACCTTGCACTGGAAGCCAGAAACAAGAATACTTCACTCCAGAGCCACAGACCCTCAGGATGTCACTGAAGAGAATCCAGGGACCACCCGGGCAGCAGATGAAGCGGAAGAGGAAGCCCCACACCGCCTTCTCCACCACCAGAAAGGTAGAGGACCAGCACTTCCTTTACCCCATCACTTTTCATTAGCAAAGTGCCACTTGCCCAGGGCTCTCACTGGCAAAAGAGGCTGGCTGGGGTATTGCAGGCTCCAGTAGTGAGAACATGAGGAATGAGGGGGAACAAGAGGGTCCCCTCTTGAGTCAGTGCTTATTAGTGAAGCCTCATGTTGAAACTGTTTTCGGTGGACGAAGGACTTAAAGTGTGGCCAGGTTAGAAGTGCTCTTTGGAGAAGCAGCTCTCTGTGTGAAGAAAGCCATTTACTCACCATGCAAGGTAGGAACAGGTTCTACCTACACATGATTTCGTTAAGGGTGAGGGAAGGGGCAGTGTCTCAATGCTCAGAGAAGGATTTCTACTGAGTAACTTGGTGTGCAGCCAGATGTAAACACTGAAGTGCAAGAAAAGCTCATTCAAGCTGCAGGTAAACCTCTAACTGTATCATTTTCAAGCAAGATAAGGCAGGTTTAAATCCCAAACTTCTGATTTTCTGCAGTCCTCTGCAAAAAGATGCCCTCTCCCATTTCAGTTGTGACATGGAAACCTCAGCATTTCAGATTCCAGTTTGTCCTATTGTTACTAGCAGGATGCAAAGAAGTCTGTGCTGGAGTGCAGCCTTTCTTTCCAATTTTTTATTTATTTTCTTTTTCTTTCTGAGTCTTCCAGCATTTCTGAATTTATGAACTTGGGAAAACAGTTTTTCCAACATGGTGATGCTTTAAAATGTTGCCACATAAATAAAAAGTGAAAAAAGACCCACATACTGTTGTGCTATATCTAGGAGGACCACACCAAATGAGGAATATAAAGGGGAAAGAGCAGGACTAGTACCATTCCAGATCTAGAAACAAAAGCTTGAAGTACATAAAATGAAAGCAAAGAAGATATTTCTGTTGAAAACAGACAGCTCTATGGGAAGAGATCCACACTAGAAATGCAGGACACAGTGTTAGGCTGTAGTTTGCTCCCATGCTTGGTTTTAAAGGCTTCATCAGTCTGAACCACATGGAGCTTTTGAGAGCAACACAGTAGGAACCAGGTTCCTTTGGAGGCTGGGCAGGCTCTGGGCTGTCAGGAGTCTCAATCTCTGGTTTGTAGCTTGGCAGCAACGTTTTCCACCAACCTAAGGTCACCTGTGGAAGGAACTGAGACTCCTTTGTTAGGCCAGAGAGCAACCAAGGGTTAAGTCAGGGCTCTTGGTCTCCAGAGGAGAAGGACATCAGATTTTTTAGTTCTGAGAAGGTAAAACCCTGATGATACAGGCCAGAAAAAGGCTGTTTTACTGTTTATCTGCACAGTAGTAGAATATCACTGATGTTACCAAATAATCAAAGGTGTAAACCTGAGAGTAACTCACACGAGTTTTCCTGAATAGGTGAGAATATCTCCAAAGGGTTATTGTTGCAGCAGAGCCTGCACACCAGCGGGGCTCAGACCAGGACAGGCTGAGGGAGCTGGACTTGTTAGAGAAGACACTGGGGAGACCTTAGAGCAGCTCCAGTGCCTAAAGGGGCTCCAGGAAATCTGGAGAGGGGCTTTGGACAAGGGCCTGTAGGGACAGGACAAGGGCAATGGCTTGAACCTGCCAGAGGGGAGACTGAGATGAGCTCTGAGGCAGAAGCTCTTCCCTGTGAGGGTGCTGAGGCGCTGGCACAGGGTGCCCAGAGAAGCTGTGGCTGCCCCATCCCTGGCAGTGTTCAAGGCCAGGTTGGACACAGGGGCTTGGAGCAACCTGCTCTAGTGGAAGGTGTCCCTGCCCGTGGCAGGGGTTGGAGCTGGAGGAGCTTTAAGGTCCCTTCAACACAAACCAGGCTGGGATTTAATGATTTGAACAGGGATAGTGGAACTGCCTGAGGCTGACTGAAATGGTTGTGTCCTGCTGGAGGTGGTGGTACTTGCCAAGAAGACCAGGGGCCTGGCAGAGGGGCTGTTGCAGAAGCAGGGGTCTGCCTGGGAGGGGGTACAAGCAAAAGGATATGATGGGCTGACTGGCCCCTCTCCTGCCCAGGGAGCAGTGGGTGTCTCTGTGCCCGCTCTGCTTCGATCTATGGCAGTTCCTAACCTGGTTTTGGGCAGCCTAGCTTTGGCTGCAGGGCTTGAAAGATGCAAATCCAGCCAGGATTTCCAGTGTCTTAGGCAGGAGTAGGTTTTGATGGATGCAATGCAAACAAGCGTCCAGGTTTCTTTTAGCAAGCTCGTTGCAGAGAAAATATTCCCAGGTATTCGTTTGCAGTCAGAGATAGCAGAACATGTTGTATTAATGTTTTGCTGAGCATTCATTATTACCTCTGGATCTGTTTACACCAACACAGCCTTCAGCAATTCCCCACGTTCGTGTGTGCACTCTCCAGGGCACTTTGAATGAAACTTCCCTCTGTCTCACTTCCCTTTGTGCAATGAAACGAGCTTTTTATTCAGATCAACAGCTTGTGCTGTTGTGATCTGTTTGTTGCCCATTGGGAACCAACAAAAGGGGGAGAATCAGTTGGGATAAAGCCAGTCAATCAGCCTCTGAGGTGCAAAGTGCATTTGGGATGAGGAAGAGTGGTGTTGACTCATGGGCAAAGTGTATTTGGGATGATGAAGAGTGGTCCCAATACATTCTCCATACAGACCAGCAACACGAGGTGTGTTTGCCTGGACCATCCACTGCAGCAGCAAGTTGCATGAAAAGAACTAATGTATTTGTGAAATGTCAGCTCTCCTGGTGCAGCAGGAGATGAACTCTGCAACACTGTGGTACTTTAAAGTAGGGGGAGGTTAATGTTGAAGTTTCTCCATCCTTCTCCACAGCTGCGCATTCAGAGGGGTCCAAATGTGTGCCTACCTCCCCTGGCAGGAGCAGCCAGCCTCCAAGGGTGTATGAAGCTCAAGAATAGGTAATTGGTAAAATAACTTCAGGGAATTGGGCAAAAAATAGTTCCTGCCCAGTGTGATGCTCTGGAAAGCTTCTCCCTCCCCCTGTTTTCTGTTTTGGAGTGGGAGAAAAACACTTGAAATGTGCCATTTCCCAGCAAATGCCTGTCCTGTTATCTGCAGGAAAGCAGGGGGAGGGATGCTGCTGGTGAGCAGCAGCTGGGGTTGCTGGGGAAACTGGTGGTTGGGCTGTACATGCAAGTGAGGATGCCCAGTTTGCCCTGAGCAGGCTGTGGTTGGGTTGCAAACGCAACATTGTGGTGCTTTTCCTCCAACCATCATGATAAAGCAGGTCAGGCCTGGGCAGGGAGACTGTGGCAGCAGCACTGGGAGTGAAATCAGCCAGTTTCCTCGCATGGAACAAAGAAAAACAACACAACACTCCCCAAAACTCCGTAACAATCCAAGCTGCTGCATGGAATGAGCTCCGGTGTCACCCACCACTTCCCAGGGCAGCAGGACCACCACATCAGAGACCCCCAGGGCCCATCCAGGCTGGTTGCCTAAGGGAACAAACTGGCAGTTAGTTGAGTCATGATGCATGAACCAACAGGAACAAGGAGTCCCAGAGATGTTTGATATCAAAGGGCTTTTTCCTAGCTGAGGAGTTGTGTCACTGTGTGAAATCATCCTATGCAACTCACCCACTGCATGTGAAGTAACTCGCAAGCAGGTTTTGGGGAAGTATGGTTTAGAGTTATCTGTGTGGCAAGTTAAATGCCTTAAACCCTTGAGAGTTCAGTGCCAAAACATCGCTCAGGCTCTTGGTGAACATGCCTGATACCCTGCTAGGAAAGAACCCAGCAGATAAATGCTCTGGAACAGGAATATGTTGCTGTAGGGAAGCAGTTTACAGTTCCTTTGAGATATCACTAAATAATAACAGAGGGAAGGGGGAAATAGCTACTTTTAATGTGGGATCACAAGGATTTGGAGTTTGTAGCCACATTCATCATCAGTGACCCATGGATGAGGTCCCCCAGGGTTTCCCTGCTCTCCCTCTGCTGAGGGCCTGCATCCCCCGAGAACCTCACCTCTTGGCTGTGGCTCTCTTGGGCAAACCAGGCACCATGGTTTGGAAGAGCTTCTGGAACCGTTTTACCATGGAGCTGATACCATCCAGCAGCCCCCACAGCTTCCCCAGCCTGCAAAGCCAAAATAAACAGGCTGAGTTTAATGACCACTCAATGCAGCCAATGGGGGAGGGTGTTAGTGGCAAAAGCATGTTGTGATGCTCCTTTGCATACCCAAGCAATCCTATGGTGTTCCTGTTAGCCATATCCCCTCTCCCTGAGAGCTTGCCTTCAGGGAATACCAAACTCTCCTGTGGAGGAGATACTGCTACACTGGTTCATGCACTAGATGTGCCGTGGTCCATAGGAAAGGAGGGATTCACCATCAGCCCACACTGCCCCAGAGGCTGCCCCATGTGTTTCCAGCATCTGAAGGATGCTGCAGCCCATTGCACACTCCAGTGCTAGGGAAGCTGGATGCCTCATGCTAATCCTACACCAAGTCCCTGCAGCTATCTCACCACTGCTGAAGCTAAAACCGCTGGTTTCTGTATTGCTTTCAGCTTCGATGCCTCTATCAAGATGTTCTTACCCCTTCCTGAAGAAAGCTGGCAGCCTGTATGGCTGTAACAGGACCTTTGACAGCGGATCCTGAAGTCCAGAGAGCTGCTCCTTCCTCCACATACCCAAGCCTGTACGCATGGATGACAACACAACAGTAAATAAAGACCAGGGATTAGAAATAACCCAGTAAATGAAACAATTCCTCTTGTCCAGCAAGTCTTTCTGCAGCTCAGCCTGTAGGTCCTGAAGCCCAGGCTTGAATCCAGCTTGAGCTGCTCCTAAAAAGCTTCTTTGTAAGAGCAGCTACTGCAGATACAGGAATATTTCCTATAACTAACTCAGTCATGTCTTTAATGTAATACTGCTCCTCTCAAAGACTGCAGCAGCCCTCAGTGGCCCAAAACCCAGGATGAGCACCCCAAATCTTCTACCTGGCAGGAAGCAAGGAGCTGGGCACTGTGCTTCCATTTTGCATAGGCCAGTGCATGTCCTTTTGGATGGGGCAAAGTCGTTCTTCCCGCATGTGCTGGCAAAGTGGAAATTCCCATTGCAGTAGTTAAAGCCAAAGGCATCTGTGGGACACAGAAGAAAGGGATGATGTTTGCATGTGTGTTGTGTGTCCAGGCCACCCTTCAGGCCCTGGATATCACTTACTGTTCCTGTACAGGAAAAGGGCAGTGTCCTGGTACCCCTGGGAGAAGATGTCATTCAAGACCTGCAAGGAGAAACACCTGAGGTCACTAAAGAGCTTTCCATCCAGGCACTGGCAGGATCTGTCCAACCATGGAGGGTTGGGGTGGCCCATTTGGAAGGCAGCAAGCACAAGTTGGCTTCCAGCAACCAAAGCTCTAGTCCTTTGCAGGTTATCAAACCATGGTGGACCCCACTCCCATCAGCAGTGTCCACCAAATAAATGCACTGCAAAGGCAGTGGGTACTGCACCCTCCATGTGAGATCTGATTGATTAATGATGGAGACTGAGCTCAACCTTAACGCTTGGCAAGGCAGGTCCAGCATCGATTTAACCGAAACAAAGCAGGGAAGAAGAGCTGGTGGGCTTACCATGGTGCTGGGTGGAAAGAGAGCATAGCTTATCCTGCAGAGGTTTTCTATGGAGATCTGAATGCTGCCGTTGAAGATCTGGAAGCAGAAGAAGATGGCAGGACAATCCCTTGGGCAGATATCGAGCTCTCCTGTGAATGGGGACACGGTGATCACAGGTTCCTCCAAGCTGGAAACAGGCTGCAGACCAGTGAATCCTCCATCCACGTATCGCTGAGGGGGAAGAGCAGAGGAGGGTTTGCTCTGAGGGTTGCTACAGGGTGTGTGTGAGGGCAGTGTCACTGAGAGGAAAGCAGGCAAAGGCAACACCTCCTGCCACGAGCCCGTCCCAGCACGTCCTCTCTCTTCCCACTTGCAAAAACATCTCTTCCTACCCCTTGCCCTTCACCTTGGCCTTTGCCAGCTCCTTCTGCTGCCCTGCCTATGGCACCCAGGTGGCTCCTCGAGCAGATGCTGTGATCCACAGCAATTATTAGAACAGAAATACAGTTATTTTCATTCACAAAGCTTTGCAAAGTTGTTTTGGGCAGTCATTGGCCAACTCAAACTGAATTTAGAGTGTCATATAGAGTTCAAGTCCTGAGCTCAAGCAGTTGGGCTCCTGTGTTTAAAAATTGCTCACTGGGCAAGGAAAATGTCCTTTGTATTCCAGAAGGAATCTGAATTTACCACCCATCTCAGTGGGATCTCAGGATTCAAGGATTGCAGCCCATCGAGTTAAGCACTTGTGAAATAATGAGAGGAGCCTCATGTAGCAGCCCCGCCGAGCTCTGGGTCCTGCAGACTCAATGGGCAAACCCTGCAGTCCTGAGCAAGCTGAAGACCTGACCTGACAGCCAGGTACATTCAAGGACTAAGCAGACTCAATCAGTGCAGACCACCAAGAGTCAAAGTGTGATCCCAGCTCTATCCCCGCTGCAGAGGTGGTATCCTGGTATCTTTTGCTCCCCTACTCTGCTCTCATGAGACCGCACCTGCAGCACTGAGTGCAGTTCTGGTGTGCCCAACATCAGAAGGATGTGGAGCTGTTGGAGCAAGTCCAGAGAAGGCCATGAGGATGAGCAGGGGCTGGAGCAGCTCCTGTATGGAGACAGGCTGAGAACACCGGGGACAGGCTGAGAACATTGGGGCTGTTGAGCCTGGAGAAGAGAAGCTGCGTGGAGAGCTCAGAGCAGCTTCCAGTGTCTGAAGGGAGACTACAAGGATGCTGAAGAGGGACCTTCATCAGGGTCTGTAGCGATAGGACGAGGGGGGATGGGTTCCGACTGGAACAGGGGAAGTTCAGGTTAAGTATAAGGCAGAAGCTCTTCCCTGTGAGGGTGCTGAGGCGCTGGCACAGGGTGCCCAGAGAAGCTGGGCCTGCCCCAGCCCTGGCAGTGTTCAAGGCCAGGTTGGACCCAGGGGCTTGGAGCAACCTGCTCTAGTGGGAAGTGTCCCTGCCTGTGGCAGGGAGTTGGAACTGGATGATCTTTAAGGTCCTTCTCCACCTGCTCTGTGGTCCATCTGCACGTTTCACCACCGTGCTGCTGTGCTCCTCCTTCACTGAGGATTATCGATGAGCCAACCCAAATCTGTCGACTTGGCTGCAGTGTGTCAGAGAGTCTGAACATGCAAAGAGCTGGGGGAGGATCCTCCCACGAGCTTCTGATATTTCAGCCATGCAAGTCTGCACCTGAGCGAGTGGAGACATCTGCACTGCAGACAGATCCTGCCCGGGATAACTGGGTTGTGTGACAACGTCCTGCATGTGGGCGTCTTCTTATGTCACTTTAGAGATCTGCAAGGCAAGATCCAGTCATCCAGGGTCTGTCCATAAGCAAAGCAGGAGAGGGCCCTCCAAATGGCACTTCCATCCAGCTATCGTCAGGATGGGATGAAGAACAGGCTGGAAGGCTTTCTTATCCTCCATTAACTCAGCAGCAGCCTAGGCTTATGTATCTCTCTCTGCTCAAGTGAATGCAAAGTTAAACCCAAGAACATACTGCTGCACAGTAAGTTGTATATGAAATAGCACTCACCACACCTCGGTAGGATGGAGGGATGAAGCCACAGTAGATGGGAAGAAAGCAGCTGCAGAGGAGAGCCTGGGGGACAAGAGGGGTTGCAGAAGTAAATGGTCCTGTCAGAGTTATCCTGGACAAAAGCTGTTGACATGATGCCTGTAAAACCAGGCTTGACCTGGCTATCGGTGCCACCTGGACTTTGCACTATACAGTTGGATAATTTATATATCATCACTGCCCAAAAGTGCCCTTCGACAGTGGCAAGGTGAAACTTTGGAGTCATTCCTCATGTTTGAGGAGTTTTGGACAATACCAACACATCCTCCCAGTGCATTTTCATTCTGCTGGGATTTGCCCATGATAAAGCCACTGCTGGGCCACTCACAACCATTTTCTACCAATCTCATGACCTGGGAATAAGCACCCTATGCTCCTGAGTTGACCTAGGGTGGGCATCAGAGGGTGAGCTCCCACATCTCCATGGACATCCTCAACTGACTCCCTGGGGCAAGCAAGTCCATGGCCTCATGGTCTGTTAGGGATTTACCCTGGGATTCTTTCCCCAGCAGCTGATTTACTGGTTAATTTCCTGCTTGTTTGGCAGCACAGACTCTTTGTCCAGTGTTTTGTCCCAGGGAATTGCTGAGGCAAGGAGGAAAATCACTGCCAATGGGACTTCCCCGAGGAGACACCTGCCCAGAAAGCTGAGAGATCATGTTAGCATTAACACAGCTCTGCAAAGAGTCATTAGCACTTCCTAGAGCTGACCAACACAGCATCAGCTTTTGGAGGCTGGAAATAAACCTGCTTTCTGGACTTAACAGCATCTTTCACCCTCCCTCCAAGCCTCATGAAGCTCACTGTGGTGTGACCATGACACCCTGACACCTTCCCATCTTGGATGCAGTTAAAGTCATCAATGTTTGAGTACCTCCACCCCAAGTAGTAGGTAGAGATCTTCCTACAGCACCCAAGGAAGGTTCCTTTACCTGAATGAGCTCCTCTTTCGAGCTGAACTCTGAGGCCATGACGTTTTGGCCATCCACCACCCGCGTGAGGGAGATGTGCAGCCGCCCTGAAGCCAGTTGGTAGGAGTTCTCTGGTAGCATCCTCTGCAGAACAGCCTTGATGTTTGCCAGCAAGCTGCACTTGGGAGAGAGGGGGCCCAGGATGGTTTCCCTGGCCTCCTTTGCCATGGCAAAGAAAAATTCCTTTAGGTCATCTAACACAGAGGGGGGAGTGAAAGAGAGGGAGAAAGTCAGGATCTCTACTGCCCAGATAGCTCTGGCTTTAATCCCATTTTTAACACTCCCCACAAATAAAGCCTTTTCATGACCCCAGGATGATGATGCTGCTACAATGGGGGGCATTGTGGAGAACAGAAAGGGGAGGATGTCCTCAGAGAGCAATGTATTGCTGAGCACAGCCTCAGTGATGAAATACGTTCAGCAACGGGTGGTTGCTCAAGAAGTACCTGGCCAGGGATTAGGGAAAGGCTCCGGAGAGCCCCAGGAAGAGGTAGGTTCAGACACTGAGTTATCAGTTGCACAACACGTTCCTGCCTTCCACCTCCACGTGGCAGTGCCAGGCTCCAGAGTGGGCTTCACACGGGCAGCCAGGACAGCTCAAAGGTGAGGACAAGGGGCACACGACTGGTGGCCTCCTGGCCAGTGTTAATAGTCATTACATGTGTCTGCACATCCCAGAAGCTGGATTAAAGGAGAAGAACTGCAGAGCCATGACCAAGAGGGCAGGAGACACCAGGTTCTAAAGGCTGCATATGATGAGGGGAAGAGGGGTGCAGCAAAGCCCGTGGTCAGCCTGACCATGGGGAGCTTGCTTGGTCCCTTTGCTGAAATGGGGAGCTCACCTGGGGAAACTGTAGCCATAGGACAGTGATGGGTTCAAGCTGAAACAGGGGAAGTTCAGGTTAGGTCTAAGGCAGAAGCTCTTCCCTGTGAGGGTGCTGAGGTGCTGGCACAGGGTGCCCAGAGAAGCTGTGGCTGCCCCATCCCTGGCAGTGTTCAAGGCCAGGTTGGACACAGGGGCTTGGAGCAACCTGCTCCAGTGGAAGGTGTCCCTGCCCGTGGCAGGGGTTGGAGCTGGAGGAGCTTTAAGGTTGCTTCCAACCCAAACCAGGCTGGGATTATATGAATACCCAGCACTGGACAGTTAAACTCTTGCAGCAAAAAGCTCATCTGGCTCCTCAGTGCTGCAAAGAGCCATTCTTGCACCTGAGTGGCCATGGCACAAAGCCATGGACTTGTCTTTGTAGGGGCAAAGGTGTCCAGGCTGTCTCATGAGCTTGCTTTAAAAGCATGGGCAGACAGATTAGATGGAGTGTCCTGAAGTCAACTTGAGCAACACAGGTATTAAGAGGGGTTATAAACATTTGAGCAGATGTTCAGGCCATGTGGGGTGATGATTAGTGGTTTTACACAGGGTCATCAGGGTGCTGAAAGAGCCAGAGACACGCCAGGCAGGTGATGCACCCGCCGGGCACTGCCTGGTGCTCTGTGTCCTGGAGCTGGGGAAGGACCTGGGAAAACTGCCCCCAAACTGATGGGCAGGAGGTGGGAGCTCACCCCAGCTTTGGGGACTTTGGCTCTGGACAGGGCTTTGACTCAGGATGAGACAGAATGACCCTCATATGTTCTGTGACCATCCCCGCCTTTAACCCTCTTTTCCCCCCAGTCTTCTCAATGTGAATTTGGCAGAGTTTGTGCCACACTCATTTTCCCTATTAGAAACCAAACCAGAGTCATCACTAATCAAAAGGTCTTTTCTTCTGCTGGCGAAGGTGTTTTGGGCACAAGATCATCTCAGCACCTCTAAGCAGATGGTGCCCATCTCCCCCACTGAAGCAGACCCTCATTTCAGCACCAGTGCCCACAGTGAGAGCAGTTACCCAACTGATTTATGCCTAGTGGAGACCCAAAGCACCATCCAATTACACCAGGATGAGGAATCAGAGAGGAAAGCTTGGGGACCCTTGCTTTTTTGTAGACAAGTTCATCCCCATATATGCAGAAAGGTTCTTTTCTGCTTTGTCTGAATATATTTGCCAAAGTTTTGACTTATTTGAGCTCCACCAGAATGGTTCCAGCACCCAGCAGATGTTTCAGGAACTGTTTGTTTCCTCTCTGCTTCCTCCATCACCATTTGGACCCTAAACCCCTGCTCCTCCTAAATGTCCCCATTGCTTGAAACAGGGCTTGGATCAGCTTTCGAAGACTTAAGTCTTGTGTACTCTTGTTTACACATGGCCACTAATTGGAAATATGGGAGAATGTGATTATTAAAAGTGGATTAACTGCTCTGAATTAATTCTACACAGAACTTATTGCTGGGAGGGGGTGGGGGGTGGCTGTTTCCACATTGTCTGAAGAAGTTCAGCATAAAACTTCTTTTGCAGCAATAAGAGAAAGCTCAGCCCCAGGCTGGACTGAGGACTGCTGTTCCCTGGGCATGCCATAGAATCAAAGGACCTTGGAATGGTTTGGGTTGGAAAGGACCTTAAAGCTCCTCCAGCTCCAACCCCCTGCCCCGGGCAGGGACACCTTCCACCAGAGCAGGTTGCTCCAAGCCCCTGTGCACCACGCCCAGGGATGGGGCAGCCACAGCTTCTCTGGGCACCCTGTGCCAGCGCCTCAGCACCCTCACAGGGAAGAGCTTCTGCCTCAGAGCTCATCTAATGTCCTGCTGATGAGCCCTATGATGAGCTTTATCCCAGTGGAAAGGTGCTCGGCTATAGGGACACAGGAATCATGCCTAATCTTCCCTCGTGCTGGGAAGATTGAGTGGGATAACCCAAAGCAACATGCAAAGAGGGCTGTCAGCTCTATAGACACCTGTGTGACTGTCCCTTTGTAGCTAAGGATGCCAAGGGACCTGACCCATAGGGAACACAGGGGCTTACATGTTTGCCCAGAGAAGCTGTGGCTGCCCCATCCCTGGCAGTGTTCAAGGGCCGGTTGGGTACAGGGGCTTTGGACAA